ATCAGTCCCAATCTCCCAATTCATCCCACCCCTCCTCCCCCCTTGGTATCCCTACATTTTTTCTCTACGTTTTTATCTCTATTTCTGCTTTACAAATAACTTCATTCATATTGTTCTTCTAGATTTCACATATAAGTGATATTATATGGTATCTGTTTTTCTTTCTGACTTACTTCACTCTGTATTGCAATCTCTAGGTCTATCCATATCTCTGCAAATGGCACAGTTTCACTCCTTTTTTGTAACTAATATTTCAATGTATATATGTACCACATCTTCTTTATCCATTCCTCTGTTAACGGACAATTACTGATATTTTTGGACTTGATTCCACTCTCTAATCTTGTTTTGGTTTTGGACTTGATTCTACTATTCTAATTTTAAAATCATTCTTTATTCCTTGCTTCTTTTATTTTCTCTTCTGCCTTCTATTAAGTAGATACATTTTCTATCTTCCCTTTCTTTGTTCTTGTTTATTTGCCAATTTAGATGCTCCAAGTTATACTTCTATTATTTTATTGATGATCCTTTGTGGATCATCAAAAAAGTTACAAAATTACAAGCTCTGCCAAAGACAGACTAGATCTTAGCACTCTGTAACTCCCTCTTAAGTAACTCCTCTACCTTCTACCACTTCCATTCCCTATGTTAACACCAAAAATGGACATTATGTTTATGGTGACTAGTTACATATACAACTTGCTTTATTTACTTGTATGCTCACCGTTAATTCCTGTCTCTTACACCTTGCTTTTGGGTTCATTTTCTTCTTCTTGAAGAATATCCCTTAATACTTCTTTAGTGAGGTCTGTGAGTGGTAAATTATGCCATTGTATACGTAAACGTTTTTACATTGCCTTCATTCATAACTAATAGCTTAGTTATTATATAATGCTTTACTTTCCCTAAGCATATGAGAGATGTGTCTTCATTGTCTTCTGGTATCTACAATTGCTGTCAGCTGGTTGTAATTTTATTGTGGAAGACCTGCTTACAGCTCCCCTGAACATAACCAGCTTCTCATAGCATTTAAGATTTTCTCACACTTGACATAATTTGGAACAATCTCACACAATGTATTTAGTTATGGATTTGGTTTTACCTAGATATGGCAAGTGAGGTGCATTTCTTGTCTAAGAATTTGAGCTTTTAGAGCTGTTTATCTATACTCCATGCTCTTTCATTTTTAAAACTGAGATAAAATTCACTTACTATATAATTCATCATTTGAAGTACACAGTTCAGTGTTTTTTTGTTATATTCACAAGGTTGTGCAACCATCACAAATATTTAATTATAAAACATTTTATTCACCAATGAAAAAATCCCATGCCCACGAGAATTCACTCTCCATTCTTCTCTCTGCCAGCCTCTAGCAACCACTGGGCTTCCCTGGTAGCTCAAACGGTAAAGAATCTGCTTGCAATGAGGGAGACCTGAGTTCAGTTCCTGGGTTGCAAAGATCCCCTAGAGAAGGGAACAGCTACCCACTCCAGTATTCTTGCCTGGAGAATTCCATGGACAGAGGAGCCTGGTGGTCTACAGTCCATAGGGTTGCAAAGAGTGGGACATGACTGAGTGACTAACACATACACAGCAACCACTAGTCTATGTTCTGTCTCTACTGATTTGTCCATTCTTCCCAAGTCACATAAAAGGAATCTTACAGTATGTGGCCATTTGTGTCTTCTTCGTATTTCAAAGAAATGGAATCACACCTTTCATTTAGCAAGATGTTTTCAAGGTTCATCCAAGATGTAAAATGTATCAACACTTTCTTCCTTTAGAATGCCAAATAATAGTTTATTGTATGGATACACCACATTTTGTTAACATATTCATCCGTTGGTGGACATGTAGGTTGTCTCCACTCTTTGGCTATCATGAGTAACATTACTATGAATATTTGTGGACAAGTTTCTGTATGAACATATGTTTTCAGTTCTCTTAGGAACATACTTAGGAGAGAAACTGTTGGGTCTTACGGTTACCCTAAGATTAACATTTTAAGGAACTGTCACCCTAGTTTCCCAAGTAGTTTAGTCGCAGCATTTTACATTCCTGGCAGCAATGTATGATGGTACTAATTTCTCCACATCATTGTCAACATGTGCTATTATCCATCTTTTTAACTCTTGCCCTTCTAGTGCAGGTGAAGTGGTATCTCACTGTGGTTTTTATTTGCATTTCTGTAGTGACTGATGATGTTGCATATCTTTTCACATTCCATTTGTATAACTTGTTTGGAGAAATGTTTCTTCAAATCTTTTGCCCACTTTTTAATTATCCTGCTTATCTTTTTACTGTTGCATTGTAAGAATTCTTTACATATTCTGGATACTAAATCCTTATAAGATATATAGTTTACAAATATTTTCTTTCATTCAGTATATTTTCTTGATAATGGAATGTTTTTAATTTTAATAAAGTTGTATTATCAATTAATCTTTGATTGCTTGCACTTTCAGAATCATATCTAAGAAACCATTGCCTAACTCAAGCTTATGATGATGTCTTCTTCTAAGAGTTTTATGGTTCAAGCTCTTTTTTAAAACTATGATTCCATCTCTACAATGTGTTTGGTATAAAGTCCTCAGGACTATGTTCCAACATTAATTATCTTTTCAGCTGCATTTTACCTAGAGTTTATTCTATTAACTGTGTTTCTCTTTGTTTTTAAAAATGTGAATGCCTTCATGTTTATTTGCTTTTTTAAATTTCATATTTTAGATTGCTTCTTTTGCATATCTCTGTTCTTATTTGGTTTCAACACAATTTTACTTTATTGTTTTTAATAGATTTTTTATTCCTCCACTTGGCTCTTTGAGAATCCTAAAACATGATGTTTTAAGTTTCTTGATGGCCTGTACCAAGAGCTTGTGGTAAAAGTATATTTGCATTGTGGGAGGTAACACATGATGTTGGTGAGACTAGAAGGAGAAACACTGGGCTGATCATTGTTATGAGTGAGGTAGAGGGTATCTGCTAAACAAACCATGAACTCTGAGCCCAACACCCAAACTGGGACCACTTTAGACTGCTAAACTAAAGCCAAAGACAAGGTGGCTGAGGCTCTGACTCAGAGGTCTTAGAAACCCAGCAGGCCGGCAACAGGTCCCCGTTCAACACATGGGAACCAGGTCAGCTCTGCGTGTTCTCACAGGTGTCCAGGATGACATCAGAGATCCCACCTGACCCAGAAATGTTACGATTTTACGAAGAAGAACAAACACTATCACCACACACTGCAGTTGCTGGGTTTAGAGCTGGTTTCCTCCTAATTACTATAATCCTAACAGCACAATAACCACAAATAGGGACATGATGAAATGGACTTCCAGAGATTACAGAGCAGGGTCTACTCAATACTAATACTCAGTACTAAAAAGCAGTCAGTGTAGTTGTATAGCTGTATGTTAGTTTAGTTGATATCAATTCAAACACTAAGATGAGCCTTCTTTTGAGGACGGCTGCTTTCTATCTATTCATAAATTAAACTGGATATGCTCACTCCTACAACAATGCACCCAGCCTCCTAAGCATTAATGAGCACACAATATATGCTTGTCGTCTGAGTGGGCACTGGGACATAAAGGAATAAGACAGTCCTTATCCTTGAAAAAGCCATTGATCAATGGTTAAAGGACTAATAAGCAAATCATTATAACCTAGATGATTTGGAGAGACTGCAAAAAGAAATTAACCAGGGAGGAAAAGCATAAGAAGTGTTACAGGCAGAGTGACAAAGGCAAGAAAGTGCAAGGGCTACTCAGTGGACACTGAGTTTCAGTTGTTAGACTGGGTTGCGGACATGGCAGAGGGTGAAAAAGCAAACAGATATAGATTATATTTCATCTAAGCTGCCACTGATTGTAAAGTGAACTATTATTTCACGTACAACCAAGAAAAAGTGCTGCTAATTCAACTGTAACATGCCAAAGATTTCAAAAGATTCCTATTTCCGTGGAGCTAAAATGCAAGGTACTTTCCCTCTTTGAATGGATGAAATACAGCAATTCCCCAAAGAAGCAACATAAAAGATACCTTAATACTAGAAAACAGATTTTTTAAAAGAAGAAATAATGCAAACAAAATATGGATATAATTTTTCTTGTCAAATTAATGAAGTACTAATGTTATCATTAGCAAGAGCACAATGAAAGGTCAAATATTGCTAAAAGTACAAAATAATACTACCTTTCTGGAAGTCATATTGACAATAACAGGTCAAGAACCTAAATACATACATACTCTTTGAGTCAGTAATTCTACATACAGGAATCTGTCCTAAATCCATACTTGTAGATTCAGAAGAAGATTTATGTAACAGAATGTAAAGTTATTAATGATAAAAAGGCACGTTATATAAATGCCAGATTGTGGATGAATACAGTTGTCCCTTGTATCTACAGATGTGGAATCTGCAGATACAGAGGGTTAACTGTAGGTGACTTGAGCATCCAAGGATCCTGGCATCTGAGTGGAGTCCTGGACCCAATTCCCCATGGATACGGTATATAAATAAATTGTAGTATCATCATATGAAATGTTAGTCAACCACTTATATACTTTAAAAATATTTAATAACCTGGGAGAAAGCTCATGGTATAATGGTAAACTTTAAAAGGGAGGAAATAAAGCTGAGATTTGAACCCAGGTCTATCTCTCTCACCAAATGTTCATACTCCTCCCCCAGCACCATCTGCCTCTCAAAGAAACACTTGCACAGCATGTCCAGATGAAATTTAAGGAAGATCACAATTCTGCTCTTTCCATCTGTGAGCAGGAGATTGTAGACCAACTATGAATAGGATGTCCATTTTTAGAAGAGTGTTACAGATTGGGATGACAGAGACAAAGCCCTCTGTTAACATAGGGTCGATTGGATACACAAGGGGCCAGATCGCCCACTTATCAACTGCTAAACTCAACTCATGAAAAACCAGTTCTTTCTGCTGTCTGTGATCACCTAAAATTATGACACAATGCCGTTTACCCACCTGGCAAGGTAAGGTGACTCGTGGAGCTAGTGCTTGGGGCAGGTGAGCCCTGAGAACGCTTCTTTGTGCCTATAAAGAGGAAAAAGAGGATAAGAAAGAATAGGATTGTGGACAGACTTTTCAGACCAGTAAATGTTCATCTGCAACTTTATCAAATGATCTAAAAGTTTGGGTCTGAAAACAACATTTAGAAGAAGGTTGAGTGAGGTTATGAGAACAGGCCATAATCCATGATCCAGAAGAGCCAAGAGCACAGCCTTTATCTTTGTGCTTTCGATGGATCTCATTCTCCAGATTGGTCTGTTAGGAAACAACACACCTCTGAGCAGGCATGCACTTTAGGATTATCAGGAGAGCGTTCTAAATGTGCAGCTGCCTGAGCACCACCCCCAGAGATTCGGTGTTCACTGTACTGAGCCGGAGCTGCAGCATCCGGATTTTTAAAGCCTAGCCCAGGTGCATATGTGCATCCAGAGTGGAGAACTGTTGCTATGAAAAGGAAAGATTTGGATTTATAAGTAAGGAGTCAGGGGGTTGTCTCTGCTTTGTCCCTCTAGCCTTTACTCCCTATTGGATCTCCAGCAACAGACTTGACTTCTCTGGAGCCTCTGAAGAGCTGTGAAGATGAAGGCTTCATTTGCAAAAGAAGGGAAATAACAACTACATCAAAGTGTCCTGGTGAGAAGCAAATGACTAGAGGTGTGTGTGGGTGCTGAGGAATTGTGGGAGACCATGCAGATTGAGGTGAGTGGGACCTATGGGTCCCTGTAGGTGACAATGTCCCTATTGGGAAAGGGATTAACAGAGGCTCATGTTAACAGCTCAGTGGGCCATGAGGGAATCAAAAGACAGAGCCCTGGGTGGGGAGCAGGAAGGAGAGAGCAAAACAAATAGAAGGATGAACTATTCTTCAAAAGAATATTTGCATGTGTGTGTGTGCATGTTTGTGTGTGTATATATATAACTGTATATACACATACATACACATATATATTATTTTATACATAAAGATACACACACAAAACTCACATACACACTTATACCTAAATACATACATATATTTTATCCATAAATGCAAATATTATTTGATTATTCATTCCTTTACTTGACCATCCAGAATGGGGTAAAGATGCCTGGAGGCCAAAATCCAGCATCATAGCAGATGCCTGGAGTCTCAGCTGGCAGAAATGCAGAGAGACTTCTTAGGCAGAGGATAGACATGATTCAATGTCAAGATATTTCTTTAACAAGTTTCCTGTACCTATGCAAACTTTCCATAAAGTCTACTTTCCATGCAGAGGCCTGGTGTGAGTGGAGGTTGTGTTAGTTTGAGTGGATACAGTCATGGGTAAAGATAACTAGAGGACATACTGACTAATCTTGAAATCAGGGGAAGCAGGAACTTAAGGACAGGGTGAGGAGTAAGCTTTCACTACCCTAGAATGCCTGGTAAGATGTGAAGACATACACGAAGGATGGTGTTTGAGATTGTTTCATTTTACTGTTAAAGAACAGGGTACTACCCTTGACATTCTGTGTTATAGTTAATTATTATGATTATGATTAGCAGCAGTAGTAGTGTTAACAGTGTTAGTAGTGATAATAGTAAAAATAGAAAACAACACTAATCCAAACACTTCAGACCCTCAAAAGCTGTTAATTTGCATGAGGTGAGAGACAAGACATCTGGCAGAACTTTAGGTCTTCATTTTTCAGGTTTCATAGATGCCCTGATGTCAGAGTTGGGTGATTTTTTATAAATACGGCTGCCAGGGTCCTTCCTTTCTTGAACCCATTGAAAGTAAACCTCCAGGGAATGGAGCCACTTGTTTGCAGGCCAACAGGTTCTCCAGGTGAGTCTAATGATCATCCATCAAATGGGGTGCTCAAACATGTGAGGTAAGCAGATTTACCCAAAGTGACAGGTGGGGCCCAGGGCAGGGCAGCCTCACTGCACAACTCCAGGTGGCACTGCTCACACTGTGGCCTATGTGATGAATAGTGGAACAGCCCTGATCAAGGGTGCTACCGGGATGCAGATCCACAGCCATTCCTGACCCACCAGGAACAACCCGTGTCCCACTGGACCCGCCTCCACTCTGGGGAAGCCAGTGACTCAAAGTGTTTATCCCTCTACGCACGGGATGCTTTACCTGTCTCACTATCCCTGTCAGACAGGGTTTCTCAACAGATGCACAGGGATATTAGTTATGTCATTCTTCATCATGAAGCCTGTCCTGTGCATAGCAGTATGTTTAGGAGAACCCCTAGCTTCTATCGCTGAGTGTGAGCAACACCTCCATGTTTTAATAATCAAAAACATCCTCCAGACACTGAGAAATGTCTTCTAGGAACAAAACTGCCCTCAGTGAAGAACCACTGCTTTAGGAGGGGAGGCAGGGTTTAAGGTTTTTTACTCAGAGCTGTGATTCACAATTTGGCCACTTGGTCATTAACAGTGGTCACTGACACATATCAGGCAGCCACCATGTTCCAAGCACCATATTAGTTATGGACAAGTAAATGTACATTAGCTGTAGTTGTCTTTCCTGACACTAATTCTCTGATGATAAAATGATTCCTCATTTATGGAGTTTTGGAAACAAAGCCTGTGCAAGTAATTTGCACAAAGTTACTGAATGCTGAGGGACAAAATTTAAGCCAAGATCCTTTAGAGTTGAAACGGAGAGAAACTTTTCTCCATGCCTCTCGTTATTTCTTGAACAATCCATTACCCAGGTTTCCTTCAAGTCCTGAATTCCTAAATCTGCCTACATGCAAGAACAACCCAGGATCACTATTGGGTCAGCATTTCTGGGGGAGCCTGAATGTGTCACAAGTGTTTCAGTGACTGCCCTCTGATAGATGAGGATAAGAGGCTTGCAGAAGCTTCCTGATGGGAGGGACTGGCTGTGGGGAAAACTGGGTCTTGTTCTGGTGGGCACGGCCTGCTCAGTAAATCTTTAATCCAATTTTCTGCTGATGGGTGGGCCTGTGTTTCCTCCCTGTAGTCTGGCCTATGGTAGGGGTAATGGTGGTAATGGTGACCTGCTTTAAAAGGACTTATGCAAACACACCAGGCCTCCCAGTTCCCCCAGGACTGTTGCAGTCAATGCCCCTGACCCCAGAGCAGGCCACTATTGATCCAGTATCGATCCACGCCTCCGCCAGAGACTCCCAAGCGCACACAGGCAAGTCTGGCTCAGTCGCTTGTGGGGTCACTGCTCCTTTCTCCTGGGTCCTGGTGCACACAAGGGTTTCTTTGTGTCCTTCAAGAGTCTGTTTTCCAAGTCCTGTGGGAGTTCTGTAATCAAATCCTGCTGACCTTCAAAGTGAGATTCCCTAGGGATATCCAGTCCCTTGCTGGATCCCCAGGTTGGGAGGTCTGTTTGAGCCTAGAACTTCCACAGCAGTGTGAGAACTTCTTTGGTATAATTGTTCTCTAGTTTGTCAGCTGCCTGCCTGGTGACTCTATAGCGGGGCTAATGGCTACCTCCTTCAAGAGGACTTAAGCCACACCCTGCGCCTCCCAGGGCTGTTGTCGCTAGAGCCTCTGTGCGTGCAGGAGGCCACTGCTGACTCATGCTTCTGCAGGAGACCCTCAGACACGCGAAGGCAGGTCTGGCTCAGTCTCTCACAGGGGTCACTGCTCTCTTCCCTCAGTCCTGGTGCACAGAAGGGTTTCTTTGTGCCCTCCAAGTGTCACAATACGAAAAGGCAAAAGAACAACCCGGGATCATTATTTTAACAAAAAGGAGAAACAAAACCAGATTCCCTGGCCTGGCCAAGCACTACTGAGTCAGCATTTCTGGAGGAGCCGGAATGTGTCACAAGTGTTCCAGCTGATTCTGACGTTCAGAGAGGCTTGGGACACCTTGTGTGACAGAAATCCCCTTCTTTTCCTCTAACTGCTGGAATATGTGGCACTCTGATTTCCACAGATATGCTCATGAGGCTGTCAGGTCAAATGTGCTGCGACCTAAATGAGCACTTAAGAGCTAGCAAAGCAGCGAATGATGACAAACTTTCAATGGTGTTAATTACAGACATATTTGCTATTGCTAGGTTATTTCATAGAAATGCTTGCCACAATTAAAAAAATCACCTATTAGGATACTCCCGAAGTCTGAAGCTTGATGGCTTTTTCTTGGGGCAGTTTTTCATTCTCTTGTTGTCTCCTTTGCAGACAGTGAATGAGACAGGAAACTCTGGGGGCCATGGTCAGTGGAAAAGCAGAGCTGCGAGCCCTCTAGCAATGTTGCTATTTTCTGTGCATGCCTGATGAAACGCCCAATGTATCAGGAAAGGGGAGAAATCATGCACATCTCTCCTAATCATGAATCGTAAACAGGTGGCAGGCAGAGACGTGTAAAACTAACCTGTTGGCGATTTCTCCGGACCATCAGGTGGCCCCATGGACCACTGGGGGTGGTTAGGCTCTGAGTCAGTCTCCCAGAGGCTCCCTGTTAATTTAGATTGTGTCCCTGAAATTATTTTCCACCCGGAAGCCCGCAAATTACCTCTCACTTTACTCCAAGTTCCATTTGTGGGAATAATATTCACTTACTAAATAATTACTCACTTATGTTTCACTTACTAAAACCCTCCACCCCTCCCCTGCTCCCATTCCCAGGGAAAACATCAGAAACTGAGCTAGGAGACCCACCCACCTCCAGATCAGCTTCCAAACTGTCCACCAACCTTCCAAGCTGACAGATGCATAGACATCGCTTTGGGATTTATTGTAGACATCTACCTCAGATGCTGCTCGGCAAGTGACTCAGAATTCACTCCATGGGTGCTTTTCAAACCTGGCTCCAGATTAGGATGGTCTGGAAGTTTTACAAGAAAATGCTGATCCCTGGGCCCTTCCGCTAGGAATGATATTTCAATGATCTCTGGTGGGGCTCTCGGGAATCTGTTCCACAGCCTTGAATGAGAAGCAGCACCACCACCACCCCCCCCCAACCCACTGAACACCTATGAAGACATTTCTTTCAGCCGTCGGGGGAGGCACTTTCTACCGAGCAATGGATGTGCTTTGTCTTAATGGATGATATGAATCTTCT